ACTGTAATGTTCTATTAATTGTTTTAAGACGAAGTATTTCATTTATGGTTCGCCGAAACCGAACCGAAATTAGGAGAAAGCGAAATTTAAAATATAAAAGACACTTGGACCAATACAACGGGTCCCTTGCTCTGTGTATGGGTCGTAGGGACACTTGGCCGTGTGCTGTGCTGGCGCAGCGGTCAGGTGCTGGTCTAGCAATCTTGACCTGCGTTCAATCCCACGCCCGGCCAGTGAATGTTATCCCCGTCCATTCCTTGCACACAGGGGGAGATTTGGCCAAAAATAAAACAGCATGTCACAGCAAAGAATATCCATTGTAACAAATGGAATTAAAACTAAATCTTTAAAATCTTTAAATCTTTAAGGTGCTTTGAGGAGATAAGGTGCCTTAACGCGTTTGAGGAGATAAGGTGCCTTAACGCCTTTGAGAATCCGGGCCCAGAATGATTAGAATGGTGATTGCAATGACAATGGAGATACCTATAATGGCATTAATAATAACAGTAATAGTAATATGACAATAATGATAACAGTATTGTTTTATTCATCATAATAATAATGAACAGTGACATCAGTAGTATAGACGATATCGCCGTCGTTACTGGCACACCAGCACATTTTCCGTTTTTTTCTTTTTGTCAGTTTTTCATAAATTGTCAACTTTATGAGGCATAGAATCACATAGGTTGAAAAAAACAGTCACCCAAAACGACGATATCATTGTACGTCTTCCTTTTCAATTTATTGTTTATGTACCCGCCATCTCTGATTTCCTAGAGGCAACAGTTCTGACGAATATTATCGATGAGAATTTTCCTCAGAAAGGCATGTTCAGACGGGAAGATTAGCACGATTCGTGATGATATCGAAAGTGGAGAGGAATGGCGCGCTCTGCTCTCACGGATGTAAGCAATCTTGCGAACACTTAAAACAAGTTTTATTAACTGCAATAAATAATACATTTCATATTTACTAATCTATTGTTTTATAGTATATACATTAAATTTAATCACATATTCTTTATTTTAGAATTAATCTTATTGAACATAATTGCAACCAATCTCGAATATAGCTCTTGATTTGACTATGGCTGAAACAGTTAACGGAAAGGTTTTCAAACGGAAACGATCATTATCGTCTGACCCGAAAATCGACAATTCGCTCAAAAAATAACAAAATTTAAGAAAATTGTAAAAAGAAAAAAAAGATAAATAGATAAAGAATAAATAACGGAAAAAGTGCTAATGTGACAGCACCTTAACAACATCAACTGGAAGCATTCAGAGAGCACATACCTCCGTCAAAGCAATTGCGTCACTGCTGCAGTAAAGGAATTCACACTTGAAGAATTACGTTAAAACGACCTTTTTCCAGTACACTGCTGACGTCCGCAAGCATTACTTCCTAACCAACGTGGCCAAAAACGTGACTTCCTTGGAGGTAATAATCATTACAAAATTACAACCGCAATAATCAATTTCTATTTATAACTGGTTTATAGTCCTATATGCCTACTGCTCATTGTTAGATAGATCTAGGGTATAGTTTTATGATTACAATAGGGTTGATTACTCTACTTGCCTTATCTCTTATCTAGACACATGGCATTACACATGGCCAGCATAGGAAGCATGCTGACCAGGAACCAGACACAAGATGGATCGGTTAAGGCTAATAGGATAATCATTATAATTTGTTGCTCTGCTTTTAAATCCCTGTGGATGTTCTGAAGGTTGTGATCCTGTGGTTTGATATTAATATTTTACGTCATGCAGATTTTCGTTACTTTTACTAAGGATTCGTAAGGGAAGTTTGCGATGAAGCTCGTGACCGGAAATACACGAAGTCAGTGTTTATGAAGATTGATACTGATGACCATATCACTGATTCTTTTCAAATGCCATTTTAATATTCGCGAATCAAGAGATATCATGCATTAATTCTAATATGATGATAATAATAATGATAATTGATAATACTGATAATATGATAATAATGATGATAATGATAATAATAATGATAATAATGATAAATATGATAATATCCCATACGAGTCCTAGTCAACCAGCATTCAACTGATCACTTGATAATAATAATGATAATAATGATAATAGAGAAGAATAATGTTAATGACAATGGTAATGATAATAATAATTACATTGAAAAGGACAATGATAATAATGATGCTGATAATGATGATAATAATAATAACGGCAATAATAACAACGATAACGATAATGAAAATAATTAAAATAACAACAGCAATGATGATAATGGTAATTACAATAATGGTAATGATGATAATAATGATAACAATATTTACAACAATAATGATGAAGATAATGATAACAATAACAATGCTGGAAGCAATGATAATCATTATCATCGTCACGCGATGCTAATGATGGTAAAAATTACTGAAAATGATGAAGGTATTAGTAATGTTAATCATGAAGGCGAAGATTCACAATAATTGTAATTAAGATGCTATCGAGGCCGAAGACAATAATAAGGGAGTGATGCTGATGAAAGGATAATGACAATATTGATAATGATAGTAACAATGATAATTATGATAATGATCAGAACGATAATAGTAGTAGTAATGATAATAATAATGATAAACATAATATTAACAGAGCTAATGATAATGATAAAAATGATAATGAATATAAAAATGATAATAATAATAATAATAATAATAATAATAATAATGACAACAATAATTGCAATAATAATGATGATGACAAAATTAATGACAAACTAAATCATGATAATAACAGTAATGATAATAGTAATAATAATAATAATAATAATGATAATGATAATGATAATAATAATAGCGATGATGATAATGATAAAAAAATGATAATGGTAATGTTGATAACGATGGTTACAATAACAATAGTAATAATAATAATAATAATGATGATGACAATAATGATAATAATGATAATGGTAATGATAATAATAACAGTAGCAATAGTATTAATAATGATGATAATAAGAACAACAATGAAAATAATAATAATCATAATAACAGCAAAAATACTACTACTACTAAAACTACTACTACTACTAATAATAATAATAGCTGTAATATTGTTAATAGCAAGAAAAAGATAATAATGATAATCATAAAACAATTATGATAGTGATAATAATGATTATGATAACAATAATGACAACAATAATCTTTATGACAATGGTGATGAAGAGGATGATATTATTAATAATGATAAGAATAATGATAATGATAATGATAATGATGAAAGCGATAATAGTGATTATAGTGAAAATAATAATGATATTAATTATTATCATCATGAACATCATCATGATCATAATTATAATGATAAATGTAATAGTGGCAACATTAGCAGTAGTATTATTAGCAGTAGCAGTAATACTAATGGTTATATTTAGATAATTGTAATGATAATGATGATGATAATGATAACAATAATAATGTTAATAAGTATAATGATAAATGATGATAATGATACTGATACTGATAATAATGATGATAATAATAATAATAATAATAATAATGATCATAATAATAATGATGATGACAATAATAATGATGATAATGATAAAAATGATAATGATTACAATGATAATGATAGTAATGATAAAAATGATGCTGATAATAATGATGCTAATAATAATGATAATAATAATGATAATAATAACAATAATAATAATAACAATTATAATGATGATGGAAACGATAATAATGTTAATGATAATGATAATAATAATAAAGTAATGATGATAACAGTAATGGTGATAATGATGAGGATGAGGATGATAACGATAAGATAATGATAGTAATAATAATAATGATATTAATGCAAGTGATAAAGATGATAAGATGATAATAATAATAAGGATAATATAACTCCAATAACAATAAAGATGATAATAATACCAATAATAATGATGATAATAGTACCAATAATAATGATGATAATAATAATGATGATAATAATGATAATAATAATAATAATGATGGCAATTATAATGATAATAATAGCTATAAAAAGGATAATGATAGCAATAATAAGAATAATTATGATAATAGTACAGACAATAACAAAAAGTAATGATAACAATAATAAAAGTTATGAAAATAAAGCTAGAATTAAGGATGAATATAATACTAATAATAATAATGGTAATGATAATAATATCACTAATGACAACAACAATGATAATGATAATAATAATAACAAAGGCGATAATAATAATGACGATAATGATAATAACATCAACAACAATGATAATGATGATAATAATAACAATAATGATACTACTACTACTAATAATAGTAATAATGATAATAATAATTATTATAATAATAATAATGATAATAACAATAATAATAATAATAACAATAATGATAGTAATAATAATAATTATAATAATAATGATAACAGTAATGATAATAAGAAGAGTAGTAATAATAACGACAATGATAAGAATAATGTTAATACTAATGATAATAATAAAAATAATGATGATAATAACGACACTAATAGTGATAATAATGATGATAATAATAATGACAATGATAATAATGATAACAAAAACATAAGAATAATAATAGTGATCAAGAATATTAACAATAACTAGAGCAGTAATACCTATGGTAACAATGATAATAATAAAAGTAATAATAGCAAGAACAACAACAGTGATAATGATAATAGTAATGGCAATGATAATAACAATTAAAAAAATATCAAGAATAACATAGCTGACTATAGAATTATTCACGCTGAAATTGTATTTAATATGCAATAATAACCATTACCTACGTGAAAACCAAGGACCTTTGTACAGTATAAGGTTAGAAGCACCTGAACACTCATTACCCTCCATTGCACTCACTCGCTTTCACCACCAACACCCTCATCACCACCAAAATCACCACCAGGGCCGCACCCCTTTCGAAAGCCTCGGATTCTAAAGCAAGAGAATCGACTGTATACCTTTAAACGCAGCATCCAATGTCCATAGGAATTCCAGCACCACAATAAAGCATTGGTTAAGTTCCACACACGACACTCAGACTATATTCAGCCAAGAGACAACTGCGGGTCGACA